TCCCATTTGGGCAAATTTATTGCTCAATGGCAATAAAGGCCTTTTCTATCCTTTCCTTAACTGGATTTAGAGGTGTTGCTTTTTTTGTTTTGTTTTGTTTTTTGTTTTGTTTTGTTTTTGCGGTGCTGGGGATTGAATTCAGGACCCTGCACTTGCCAGGCAAGCGCTTATTCTACTGAGCTGTGTCCTCAGCCCTGGATTTAACTGATGTTTACTTGAGCTTGTAATCTTATTGGCTGACCATATTTTGTCCTACCTCATGCCCACCTAGGAGAGTTCCCATATTCTCCACCTAAGACCCATCTCACCACATGGTTTTGTTCTATGAAAATCCCTGTGTTATGGGTTGCTCAGCATAGGAACCAGATAGGCCAAACTGGAATTTAATTAAGAGTCTTTATTTATTGAATTCAGGGCTGTCAGTCAGTTTTCACACAGGATAAAACCGATCAACCTTATACCCAGGAAGCAAGGGGTTTTTAAAGCAAAAAGCCACATCCCACTTGGCAAACAAGTTTGTCATTTAACACAGAACAGCACTGTCAGGGGCAGTATGACCATTACTCGACATACATTTTTTCTGGGAGCCTTTCTTCAGTTTCTGTTTAATATATATTTGCATTGCGGTGGTCGTGACTACCACAGCGACACTTTCCAGTTGGTTAGCAACATTTTAGTTATTTTTTACAGTTAGAAACATTTTGACCTTTACTTTGATTTATTTTTCAGGTCCATTCCAGGTATTCTCCATTGATTGATGTTTTATCAACGGTACACCAAGCCTCCTTGCAGCCTTACAAGGAAGCAAGGTCACAGAAAGTTGAGCAGAGCAATTTTTTCACGTTAGTTTAACATTAACTCATCACATGCTGGAAGAGACAGATTGGGAGGCAACCTGCTCAGGTCCCCTTCCTGTCATTCTTGAGACAGGAGCTTTGTTGCCCCTAATAAATATTCTGCTCTTAACCTCTTTAACCTCTGTTGTCCCTAAAATTCATTCCTTGGTTTTAGAGAACATGAACTCAAACCACTATCTTTCATCCTGGGAAATTCTTTCCCCTCTATCAATAGGTTCTGGCCTGAGTACAAACTGCTAAATTATCAGGGTCCTGATTTAGCATGGCTGAATCCCCAAATCAGCTTATTTTCCCAATGACCACTTCCTTGGGGGGCCTGCCCCTTAGCTCAGTTCTTTAAGTGGCTGCTTCAACAAAGCAGTCAGGCTCAGGTTGCTGTGGTTCGATCCCCACAACTCAAGCCAGCCAAACCTGCCCTGAAGGCATTGGGAGCAAAAAAAAAAAATCTTTACTTCTTCCCCACTCCATCTCTGGATGACAATTTCTTTTACCTTCCCAGGCACACAAACAAGCCTGCAACCAGATCCGTACGTGTCACTGCCCCTGGCCCCTGCAACTCCACCTGTATTGGAAGTCCATATAGGCTCAGCCTTCCTGCCTCAAGTCAGAGGATCTCACATCTCTCTGATATTGATTCTCTCCATGTCCTGCTCAATGGCAATAAAGACCTTTTCCATGCTTTTCTTTAATTTCTGCTTTGCTGCCTTGTCACTGAAAAACCTAACAGTACACACCTCTAATCACAGTGCAAAGGAGGCTGAGACAGGAGGATCACTACAAGGATCGCAATCTGATTTGTGTAGCTAGGCCCTGTATGAAATAAATACTTTTTAAAAAAGCATGATTTCTCTCAATCTTTCATGTAGATAATTAGGTAATGCTTTATCTTGTACTGTTGAAACATTTGAAATGCTTTAAATCTTGGAACTCTTTGAACAGCTTCAGATTTTGCAGTGTGTTGGATTTGGAATTCTGGATTAGATATGCTTAGCTGGTAAATTGTACTCAAATATTCCAAAATGTGAAAGAAGACCAAAATCAGGAGCTCTTCTCTGTGGGGAGCCCCTGAAGCTGGAAACTGATCCTGTTGGGGGAAGGCAGGATGAGGCCTCATTGCCTAAACCAGTCAAGCTTCCTCAGTCTTGAGAGAAACACCCTGCCTGGATATGTTTGGCTATTACTTGCTAGGTAACCTTGTGTGTTACAACTTTGTAAAGGTATAAAGAAAGGTGCTTACAGGCAGATGAGCCACCACCTGACCCAGCTCTTGCCTTCTTGTCTACCATGTCCTGATTCCTGCCTCCATCTCTCCCAAGGTACAAGGGATCAAACTGAGAGTCCAACAGCTCCTTACACGCTGCCACTGTCATGCACCTTGGTGCCACTAGCAGCCTAAGGGGAGGACTCCTAGGTCCTTCTGTTGTTGATGAAGGCATCTAGTCAAGACAGAGAGAGTTGTGAGAGTAAAGGCACAAGTTATCAGGAAGAGTGAAAAAGCAGCAGCACAAGGCGAACACGAACCTTAAGGACAGGATGGGCAAAATCCAAGGGGGCAGTTGAACAGAATGACATTTTGTGCATGGATGCTGATTCCTGGGTTTTGGCATATGTAGTGGTCACCAATGCTCTATTTCATGATGGTTATGCTGATTTTGTCCTGGAAATTGTGGAGGACCACCTGGGCAACTCTCCTTGAAGGAAGACCAGCTGTCTCCATTTTGGCTGCGCCTGACCCTGTTTCCACGTACTGATACGTACTGAGCTGCTAGGACTTTGCTTATCCCTGTAATTGGCTTTAAGCAATACATACTGGCCTACCCAGGGTGCTGGCGGGAGTCTCTAAAGATCGCACGCGTGTTTCCCTGATAACCCACACCTGCTGCCCTTTAATATGAGCCGGGTTGAGACAGGACGAAGAGCTGGCGCTCCATGCTGTCGGCTGGGATGGAGCCTCCAGATAGAGGCGATGATTTCCTGGGGCTCAAAAGATTACATGTTGGTGCTGAGGCTCTGGACCCTGAATCATTAATACTATCTCAACAGTACAATGCAAGTGACTTTTTCTACATTTCCTTCTCTCCGCACATCGCAGAGGTAAATGCAGGCCTCCCAACGAGCCCAGCTCACAGTACTCGCCTACTTTTTGCAATACTCAGCCATCCATCCTCAAGCTACTCCTCTTTCATGACCAAATGAAACCTGGGTTTGGCCCAGGGTTGAGTCCTTTATTCCAGATAGCCATCATCATGGCTGGAATTGGAACCCCTTGGCTCCCCATAACTATAAATATGCCTTAGTGTCTTTATTCTTGCCATGGGTTGCACTGGAAGTGGTAGATTGGAATTAACTTGATGGAATTCCAATACCTTATCCATGGGATTACAAATGTAATCTTGGGGCCAGGGAGATGGCTCAGTAGAATAAGTGCTTCCCTGGCAAGCGCAAGGGCCTGAATTTAATCCCCGGTTCCGCCAAAAAAACCAAAAAAAAAAAAAAAAAAAAAAAAACCAAAAAACCCACCAAATATAATCTTCCTAGACTGATATGAGTACTAAAAAGGACTCTTTACAAGAAGTTACCTTGGAATATCTGTCTTTTACTGATGCAAAGACATATTCCTTGTTCTCTTCAGATGGTCAGCTGTCCTTTGACGCACACTACTATCCCAGAGCATTTAATTATATAAAATACGTGAGAGAAAACTTAAGTAAGAGAATCTTTTTTTGGATTTTCTAGTAAGGGTCTACAGGGTCTCACTACGTAGATCGGACTCTAGTGATTCCTTTGTTTTCAGCCTCCCAAATGCTGGGATTACAAATGACACCTCCACACCCAGTCTCAATCACCAGTATGAGTGTGCCCCAGGGGCGGGGCTAGTACAGCATACCAGGGACCAACCCGAGCCCCTGTGTCTGCCTAAGCAGGTGCTTTAGTCTGCTGAGCTACTTGGCCGGCCCCTGAAGTAAGAGAACTTTAAGTCACAACTTGGTTCAGTAGAAGGACCAGGGGCGGATCTTGAGACGCTCCTTCTGTTCTCACTTGTGTTGCCAGGCGGCCAGTGGGCACTGCAGCAGGAACGCTGAATGGCTGGCTGCCTGGGTGAGGAAGGAAGCACCGTGTGCCAGGCGGCCGCGCAGGACAGCCGTGCCCACTCGGACCGTAAGATCTCCTGATGCTGTGTGGGGTCTGTGATCTGACAGATAATCCTAAGTGTGTCCTGTGCTGAGGTCTTCAGTCACTTAGCTACAACTGGCAAAGTGTATTCACGCTGCCTGACAGCTCCACAGACCCGAAGCAGAAGGGCTACGTGAGGATGAGCTGAGACCTCTGAAACCACAAGCTGAAATGAACTTGGACCCTTGAAAGTCGCTCACCTCAGGTGTGTTGCCACGGCGGTGGAGACTGACTAGCACTTTCTCACACAACTTTCTCTGGCTGGTGAGCAGAGCAGCCTTGGGGTTTCCAGTGAAGCGCCAGGGCAGCTGTGGCTTGGCCTGCTCTGCGGCTCTGCCCACCCCACAGGCCCCCACAGCTCACCACTTCCTCCTCGCTGCTCCTGGCCTCTGCCTTCCTTGGCCCCAAATGCTGGCCTTCGTTTGCCGAACACATCAGGCCAGTTTCTGGGCTGTGGCCTTTGCTGTTCCCCTTTCCCTGTTCCTGGGATACTTCTACTTAGAAAAACACCGATCCTGCTGTCTGCCAGCCTTGCTTCTGTGCTCAAACATCACCCCTCATTCCATCAGTCAGAGACCCAGGCCAGCGTCAGCAGATCCTCTCCCTGCTTGCCTTCTCCTCAGACACTGAGCGACACATGCCAGCTTCTATTTGCTCTTTTGTTTGTTTGTTTGTTTTACTTTTTATTTGTGTTCCTCTTATCACTACGCTGATGGCTTCTCAGTGACAAAGATGGTGCTGCTCCGGGCACTGAGGCATCCCTGGTACCCGTAAAAACACTGGCACATGATAGGAGCTCAGTGTTAGTGGTCAAAGTAGTCCATAATTAGTACAAACAACAATTAGTACAATAATTGAGTATGATGCTCATTCTTCCATGAGCATCATACTCAATTATTACACACACCACACACACACATACACAGAGACACACAGAGACACACACAGGTATAGACACAGACACACACACACACACACACACACACACACACACACACCCCGCCATCTCTAGGACAGGCACTGCACATACAATCTCTCATGATCCTGGCCAGAGCCTGCGTGACAGCTTCATCCAGCTGGGAGAGGAGGCTCTGGAGAAGAGTCCAGTGGGGCACAGCACACTCAAGGCTCGGTCCAGTAGTTGCATCCACCCTGTCTCATTCCATGGAGAGGACTGTGCAGGAAGTGGACGCTGACTGTCTGCAAACACATCCCGGAGGCTGCTGATGGCAGAGATGAGGCAGGGGTGAGTGAGGTGGATTCAGTGACCAGGGGAGAGACGAGGACCAGGAATGACCAGAGCCAGATAGAGAAAAGGAATCAAGCTGAGTGAAGCATAGCAGGAGAGGAGGACCAGGAAGGTATTGATGGCACGGAGAAGGTGGATCCAGTTCTCGAGGAGAACCACACCCCACTCCTGGCTAAGAGAGGGGCCTCTGAGCCACCAGCATCTCAGGAACCCTCGCCAAAAGGAATGGGGCTCAGAGGTGCTGGGCAGCTCAGCTGGGGCAGAGCTGAGCCTGCTAAGCTGGTAATGTCATCAGGGAGGAATCCGGGGGACGTAGGGTGCCTCACTCACCCGAGGGGCTAACCCGTGACAGTGTGCATCTCTGCGGCACCAAGGGAGGCTTCTTCCTTCGATGCCCTCCTCCTATGAGATTTCAGTGTGAGTGATGAAAATAGATGCCTTCAGTGTGGGCACTGGAGGTGCCATTGGCAGTGGGCGCCTCACCTGTGCCCTGTTATCCATCTCTGGGCAGCGCTCACCTGAGCAAGATGAGGCAGAGCCCAAGAAGCAGGATCTTGACAACAACTTCAACAATCGCCAGCAGCACCACCTCTGCCATGGGCCCCGATTTTCCTGGGGGAAAATGGGGGACCTCAGATTTCCCGAGGAAATCACAGTCTCAGTCTATCGTTAGCACTTGGTTTGCAGCCCCAAGCCCAGGAGGTACATTCAATCCTGCAACTGTACTGGGACCGAGCAGAGTACACCGTGCCGCAGTGCTGAGCACAGGGGTTCCATGCTCAGGGTCCTGGGAGTTGCAGGTCCCTCCCAGCCTAGGTCCTGAAGTGGCCTGTGGATACTCACTCTGCAGGGACAGGCTCAGAGAGATGTGCTGGGACCCCAGAGAGTTCTGTGCTCAGCAGGTGAATTCTGCTTCACCCCTAAGGTGCTCTGAAGTCAGCTGCAATACCCCAGGGCTTGTGGGCTCAGAGGGGCTCAGAATCAGGTTCCTCCAAGTCCAAGTCAAGCTGGCAGGGGGGTAGCTGTCAGCCGCACAGAGCAGGCGCAGAGCCTGGCCCTCCACGACTGGAAGAGAGGAGCCATTCACCAGGGCTGCGGGAGCTGTAGGAAAGACACAGAAGGGCAGAGGGAACAAGTGGTAAAACAAGGGCTAAAGAAGGAGACTGAGTGGAGAGGTAGATTCAGGCCCAGACACAGACAGGAACAGACACCAGTGTGACCAACAGAGGCGTAGAGTGAGGATGAGCCCAGCGCCTGGCTCACACCTAGAGGTTCTGTCCAGCTGAACTTGGGTTCCAGGCAGGTGGGAGGGAGGATTGGGGGCTTCACAGGACACCCATTTGGGTCACCAGATGCTCTGGGTGAAAGCTCAGAATCCAGGTCCAGGCAGAAGGCTCTGAGCCTTTGTCCACATCTCGTCCTGACTCCAGTCACGGACTGAGCTGCTCTGAGCAGGTGTTCACAGGGCCACATGAGCGGTGATGGGGGTGACTCAGTGGCAGCAGCCACAGAGGTGGAAGGATAAGTGAGGTGGTGAAATGCTGTGAAGTAGGGCTTCCCGGAGGAAGGGCGCTTAGCTCACACCCAGGGAGATGTGTGGAGGTCAGAAAGCAGGGTCAGGAGAGAGGTCAAAAGGGCCTCAAGAAGGAGGAACAGAAAGTGCCAAGAGGGCCAATGTCTGAGAATGTGGAAGGAAAATTGGAAGGACCAGCAGGGTTCGAGGGAGGCAGTGTGTGCAAGGCAACCCTTAGGGTGGGGTCAGCACCCCCAGGAGAGCAGTGGGAAGGGCTCGTGTTTACATCAGAAGCCATGGGTGGGGTTCAGCAAGGGGACTACACAACCAAATGTACTCCAGTTCACTGTGAAAATTACTTAACTCCAAGAAAAAAAAGAAGTGGACAAGTGTCAAATAAATGATTTCTCTGGCTTGCAAAGAGCATCATAGGACAAACGTGATCCAGAGTGAAATCCATCTGAAAATCTCACCAAATAAGTTCAACAGTTGTTCCAGAAACAAGAAATGTAATTGGCCCGTGCAAGTGCAAAGAGGCACATGGTTCAAAGAGTGTGCGGAACACACTCATCCTTCACCAACACGGTGGACACCAGCCTGCCATTCCTCTCCCCATGAGATGAATACACCCAGCTAGCTTGTTTTGAGGAATCTATTCCACAGCACACACACACCTGTACTCTTCTAGAAGTAGGTCCACCTAATCATGGTATCATTTCTGTTGATGGAATAAAGTCCAAGCCTTGACTGTCCCCCAGCAGGAGATACCCCTGGAAGCAGGTCCTTCGCAGCCAGGCGCCACACTCAGGGACAACCAGGGTTAGGGTCATGTTTCTGTGACCCGCAGGGGGACCAAACAAGGCTCAGCACAGCCTGTGTGGCCAGGGTCCCTGCTGAGGCCTGACTGCTGTGTGTTCTGAGGGGGTGGGGGTGTGTGTCTCCTCCCACTAGCACTTGGATTGAATCTATTATGGGAGACAGAAATGTTGGAGTGGACCCCAAGGAAGGGCCTTGAAAGGCCAGTTCCTTTCAAGGCCGCCATCCTGGAGGCAAAGAGGTGTCTCTGCACGAGTCTTGAGGGAGTGAGGCAGGGGTTGTTGGGGACAAGGGTTCAAAGTGACCATGGGCTGTGCATGGGGGAGCCACTGAGCCCCCAACAGGAGGTCTCTGTGACCAGGTGCAATGAGGGAGACGACCACCAGCCCTGCCTGGGCCGAAGCGGCCCAGCCCACCCACCCCAGCCCCAGACAGGTCCTGTACCTGAGCTGGCTCCCTGGGTGACGACGGTTACAGTCAGGTTTTGTGGAGGGTCTGGGGCAGGAAGACACGGCAGGACCATTAGTGGTAACCTGGGGCGCGTCATCCCTATCCCCAGGAGCTGCAGAGGTGGGGCCGGTGCGGATTGTTTCTGTGCCCTCCTATCCTGCTGCACCCCGGATTCCAGGACACAGCCCCCTCTGACCCAGGGCCACCCCCTCCAGCAGCAACCCCGCCATCCCTGCCTGGCTCTCACAGGAAATGTTGAGGTGCATGGTGGTCGTCTTGGTCACGCTGACCGCGGGCAGAATCACCTGACAGGTGAGGCTGGTGCCGTGGTCCTGGGGCTGCGGGGTGAGGCTGAGCACTGGGGAGCTGCTGATGTTGGGGCCCAGGTGGGACACAGAGGCCCCCAGCCAGGAGAAGATGGGGGGCGTCCCCCGCTCACAGGCCCAGGGCACAGAGCAGGTCAGGGTGCTGGGGTGGCCCGCTGCCAGGGTCCCCGCGATGAGGATGTCAGGGCTATGGGTCAGGTCTGTGAGGAGAGGCGACAGCAGGGTCAGGATGGAGCCTCTGAGGTGAGGCCATGAGAGAACCTCAGGTCCTGGCTCTGCTCCTCCTGGATCCCTACAGCTCAGCCCCGAATCCTCCCGGGGCAGGTTCATCCCTGCTCTACCCATTGTCCTGTGCCTTCACCTGTGGCTGCTGCTGAAGCCCGGGACTCACCTGTCACACGCACAGAGAGCGTAGAATATCTGTAACTATATCGAGCCTGTCCTCTCTCCAGCCGAAAGACAAATGACCCCTCGTCCGTCTTCCTGACATCTCTGATGTCCAGGGAGCAGTTGTAAGCCCCAGGGTCCCCGGTGAGGAGGAATCGGCCTTCTGCTTCCTCCAGCACCTGTCGATCTGGATCATTTGTGGCCACTGGAGCAGCCTGGCCTGTAGGCCCACCCTGGTTCCGGAACCAGTAGCCGTAAGCCGGGTCCGACGCAGTCCAGTGTTCATCGGGGTAGGTGAGCTCACAGGGCACATGGGCACACAGGCCCTCCTGCACCGTCAGTGCTCTCTGCATGTTCAGGGAGTATCCCTGCGAGCTCACCCTGGCTGGTGCTGCAAGCAGCAGCAGCAGCAGCAGCAGCAGCATGTCTGCCCGGAGCTGGGGCCCCGCCCGGCAGAGGCTGCTCAGGATCTCTGTGTGAGGAACCCAGAGTTGCAAGACCTTCAGGAAGCCCACAGGAAGAGCGGTGCCTCCCCTGGGAGGAGCTTCAGGTCAGCCACTGTCAGGGCCCAGGGGGACTTTGGAGATCAGCCCCCACCACCCACATCCACTCCTGGGACTCTGAGACCAGAGGGACGAGAGGCTCTCCATTCACCTTATCTCCCCTCTCCCTGCTGAGGTCCTCCCCTCAGGTGACGTTTTCCACAGGGTGAAAATGGGTCCCCTCTGACCAGACCACTGAGGCCACTGACACTGTGGAGTCTGGGGTGAGCCCAGGGGCAGGACACAGATAGCGGTTCAGTTGGGTAACAAGGGGGCCTGTCCTCCCCTCCCTTCCTTTCACAGAGGCCAGCACAGCAGGCCTGGGCTTGGTCCCCAAGTGGCTACCGTTCCCAAGGGGAAGATACCAAAGCATGCAGCATCAGAGGTTTCTGGGGACAGGAAGTGAAACCCTGGAGTGTTCTGTGTGTGTTAAGGCTCTCTTCAATATAGAGTTAAATTTTTAAAACATTTTTCTGTTGCACTAAAACTTTGATCTTTGTGGAGATCACATAGCTGGTGGAAGCTGATAGGTCATGGCCTTCGTATGAATTGTTAATTTTTAGGGTCGTCCTTTAACACGGCTGAAACTTAAAACAGCTTAGCTTCCTAGTGACCACTGCCTCCTCCTTCTACTCAGTCTTGGAAAGTTTCCTCTCACCTTTCCTGGGCATGCAGGAGAGACCCCCATCAGCTCCTGACATGTAACTGAATCATCTGCTCCTCAAACTGCACCCTTGGCGAAAGTCCGAAAGTCCGTAAGAGTCTCAGCTTTCATTTCAGGTCAGAGGATCCCCCATCTGCCCTCCATCCTGTCAAGCCATGTGTCTGGTTGAATTGCTCGGGATTAAAACTGACCTGTTGCTGAAGGCTTTGCCACATTCAGAATATCTACAAGGTCTCCATTACCTGTTAATTTGCTGATGCACCTCGTTGGTTTTTTTGTTTGTTTGTTTGTTTTTCAGTAAGGGTCTCACTATGCAGATCAGACTTGTAGTGATCTGGCTGTGTTCAGCCTCCCAAGAGCTGGGATTACAGGTGTGCGCCACCATGCCTTGTATGAATCACTTTCAGGGTGGCCTGGGGGCAGGGCTGGCATGGCATCCTGACTACTGTGTACGCTTTATTCTGCTGAGCAAGTTGTGCGGTTTTTTTGTTTGTTTGTTTTTCGGAACCAGGGATTGAACTCAGGCCCTTGTGCTTGCCAGGCAAGTGCTTATTCCACTGAGCCATCTCCCCGGCCCCAAGTTGTGGTTTTTTACTGAACAATTTCCCCCAGTCACAGCACTCAAACAGCATCTTTCCAAGGTGAATCCATCAACAAGTAATCAACTCTGACTTGTGGAAGAAACACTGCCCACATTTTGACAGACGAGAGCTCTCTCTCGAGTGTTAGCTACCTGGTACTTACGGAACTCTGACCTTCCCTTAAAGGTCTTCACACATCCAGCGCATACATAGGACTTTCCCCTGTGTGTGGAGAGCTGCGAAGGACCGCGCCTACAAGATGGCGCTGGTTTCCGCCTTCCACCCCCCGTGGGTGAGCGCTCTCTGTGCACAACAACTCCTTATATGGCCAGGGCTGCAGTCATGATTTGCTTCCGCATATGCTGGACCCATGGGTGATCCCCACGTGGCACACTGGGATTGGGCTCAGGAGTATATATTAGCCAAGGGCTGGGGGATTGAGGAAGAAGAAGCTTGCTGTAAGGGGCCTGAATAAACCGCTGAAGGAAGAGCTGTGTGTTGAGTCTTTCCTGCTGGTCAAGAAGTGCGCGACACCTGTGGATTTCCTGGTGCTGTCTGAATTGGGATATAGGAATGAAGGATTTCTCAAACTCGTTGCCTTTGTAGCACTTCTTTCCCATGTAAACTCCCTGGTGCACCCTGAGTGTTGACCTCTAGGGGTTTCTCACATCCACTACGTGCATAGCATCTTTCTCCAGGGTGGATTATCTTGTGCACAGTGAGGCGACACCTTTAGGCAAAGGCACAACCATAAAGTACCTTTCCTGTGTGACTTTACTGATGTATATTGATTTAAAAAAATTTTTTCTTGTGGAACCGGGGATTGAACTCAGGCCCTTGTGCTGGCCAGGAAAGCACTATTCCACGGAGCCATCTCCCCAGCCCCTAATGATGTATATGGAGAAAGCAACTGATATACTTGGTTTCAACACCAACAGAGAGAAAGTGCATTGGGCAGAGGATTCAGCCAACTCTGAAGGTGGAAAAGGTAGAGCTGGGAAGAGTGGAAGGAAGAGGCTGGAGGTGCCCAGGGTTAAATCACGAGGGCTCTTCCAGGTGGGGCTGCAGGAGGGGGGCTGGGATCCGCTCTGACTTACACAGGTAGCATGGTGCTAGGAGAGCTCATGTCCCCTGCGGTGCAACTGGCAAAATCTAAAGGTGCGTGTGATGGTCACAACTGAGGGGGGACCAGCGACTGCTGCTGGCATCTGGTGAGAAGCTAGGGATGTGGGAACTTTCCTCAGGGTGCAAGACAGTCCTGGCTCCCACCCCACCAAAGCCCATCAAGAGGAGGCTGAGGAACTGTTCTATAAGCAGTGTTTTCTACCAACGTGGGTGACCTGGAAGGAAAGAATGTCCCTGCTTCCCTACCTTTGTCATCCTCTCTCCTTTCTTTCACCAGTCCTCCCTCCTTGCCGCGTCCTTTGTTTTCCTTGCTATGCAACCTCCCCCCAGATTGCTGAGGGCCAGGGAAGGTCAAGAATTCCTGCTCTTGCAAAGACACTGAGCACAAGGAGCTATTCACAGACCCTGAATGCTTTCCTCCGCTGTAAAGAACGAATCCTGGGCAAGTGTCTTGGGCCTCTGTGGCTCCTGACTGATGTCTTCTTTAAATTTACAACTGGACAGACGGGTACCACATTTACAAGGACACCGGCAATCTTAGCAATGATGGTGGAGCATGGGGTGGAATCTGCTCTCTAGGTGCATCCCCGGGATGGCTCCGGGCTGGAGGCAAATGGGGGCCGTGAACAGACGCGCAGGCTGCGTGATGCTCGGCACTGGGCCCAATTACCATGCTGACGTCACAGCTGAAGGCTATGAAGAGATGCACAGCTGAGCTTGTCCAAAGGGCCTTAGGCAAACAGGCGCAAGTCCGCAAGCGTCTTCAGGCGGATTAGAAGAGCCCTGCATAATAACGCCAATCCTAAATGCGAGGCAGGCACAGAAAATTCTTAAAGTCTTGGAGCACTGAAGGAACAAGAATCTGATTTTAGTTGTTTTGAGAGGCACATTACACAGGAGCGCTGCTCCATGCCTCAGGCTTTGGAGTAAAATTCACAGATTCGGTCAGGCCTTGATTAAACCAAATGAGGAAAACCTGGACGCCCCCAGTAAGGTGGAAATGCGTGCCATGGTCCACTATGGAGAACATTGGCTAGACCTGGTGCTGTTCCTTTGGAAGACCAAGACCGGTCTGTGGAATATCCTGGTAAGAGATGGCTCAGCAGCAACTTTGGGACACACGTATAGGCTGAAAATAGCGAGGCTCAGAGTTGCGGCTTCTCAGCTGCAAACGCCTGGTGGAAGACAATGCGTGAACCCTGGAGTGCCGGCTGTGCTCAGCAGCTCTGTACAGCAGGGGCCAGCGGGGCCTCAGTGGTGAGTGACTCCATGGGCCTTTATGGGCAGGGGTGCTGGTGAACTGGGGACAAGTGATTTGCCTCAGATGGAGGGAGAGGCCTTGTGGTCTCTCTGAAGACATTTCTGGCTGGAGTCAGGAAGGCTGGTGGCTTCTGTGGAGCTACTAACAGAACCAGTGTTACACCATGCGTGGCTCCATATGAGGACACCAGGCCTCTCAGATCCAGACCTTCTTTCTCCTCCTGGAACCAGAAGGGCTGCTGCCCTGGCGCTTGTGGCAAGTGTGGTCATCAAAGAGAGAACTCCTCCCCCAACTGGAAACAGCTTAGAGCCCGGGGAATTCTGCTGATTTTAATGACTGTTTCCTTATTCCTCTTTTGGAACTCTTGTCATTATAGGGATTCTGACTTAAAGACACACTGCCACTGTGTCTTGGACTCTAGACGAAAATTTAATTAATTTTTTTCTGTATTTGAGGGAAGGGTCTACAGGGTGTTCAGGGTCTCACTACTAGATCGGACTCATAGTGAGCCTCTCCTTTATAGCCTCCCAAGTGCTGGGATTACAGGTGCCCTGGGGGCGGGTGGGGCTGGCATGACAGGCCAGGGGATAGCCTGCTTGTGGGCGCTTTAATCCACTGAGCTATTTGGCCAGCTTTGAAACTTTAATTTTTTAATTTTTTGGCAGAACCGGAGATTGAACTCCGGCCCTTGCGCTTGCCAGGGAGAAAATTTTATTTTAAAGAAGGACAAAAATGACTTTTCGGAGTGTAATTATGGGACTTTCATTTCATTATCGTGAAAAGATAAATCAAACACGGTAAAAACAATTGCAATTTAAACAATTTAAAAGCTTTATGTCACAAAGTTATGTTAAGATTTCAAGGGGCTGGGGAGATGGTTCAGTGGAATAAGTGCTTCGTGGTAAGCACAAGGGCCTGAGTTCAATCCCCAGTTCCGTCAAAATAATAATAATAATAATAATAATTTCAAAAGGCCTTTTTTTGGGTAATGTTTTAAATTTGCAACAACTCTCGTGTATGTTGCATTCAAACATCGTACATGTATACCTTCCAAGTGACACGAAACTGTTTTAACAATTATATTTTTCTTCGTGGAAAGCGCTCTGGGGCTTCCTTGTCCCGTTTGTCCATCCCTCAGAAGTCTACTGTTTCAGAGATCGAGGGAGTTTCTCCAAGGAGTCTGGCCTCTGGTTCCACTGTGGAAGCTGCCTAATACGTGTCCCCCGCTCTACCCCTTTTCTGAGCCCGAGGAAGCCAGCGGTGAGCGCGGTGGCAGTGTCCACCC